CCCCCCAATGCCTCAGCTTCTCCTCCTCCCTGGATTCTCCCTGCTCCCTCTTCCCATTTAACCCAGCTGGGCTGGGGTTACTAGTATATTCCCACCAGTTGCCAAGCACATTCTGAGTTTAGCATTAGTCTACACATGCCCTGAGCGGGACCTCTCTACACAGCCTTTCCCCTTTGGGGCCTCACCACTGTGCCACCCGCAAGGCTGAGCTTTTCCTCAGCTGGGCGCTTCCGGGTGGGGTTTCGGGATGGGGTCCCGGGGGCCAAGTGGGGCCTCAGCCTCCTCTCCTCTCCTCCTCCTCCAGACTGTGGTACAAACCTCCATGAGCCGGTCCCACACAGCCCTGCTGGGCCTGGGCCTGCTGCTCATGCTGCTACTGTACGTGGGGCTGCCAGGCCCCCCTGAGCACACTTCCTGGCTCTGGGGCGACCCCAATGTCACAATCCTGGCCGGTCTCACCCCTGGCAACTCCCCCATCTTTTACCGAGAGGTGCTCCCACTCCACCGGGCACGAAGGTGGGTGCTGACCCCAGGGTCTAGTAGAAGGATGAGGCCTGAGGGGAGCCCCCGTGTGGGACCCCAGCTCCACACGGGGTGCTGAGGGCTGGGAGGGCAGTGGGAGAAGCCTAGGAAGAAGGTGGGGCCCTGCCAAAGCCTCAGACCACCCCCCATGTGCCCGCAGGGTGGAGGTGGTGCTGCTCCACGGGAAAGCCTTCACCTCACGCACGTGGGAGCAGCTGGGCACGCTGCAGCTGCAACAATAAAATTAAAAAAAAATTTTTTTTTTCAATGACAAGAAAAGACCAGGGTTCACCCTGACGGTGGGGCTCAATTGGTTGAAGCATCATTCAACCAATATTCCAAAATGTTGTGGGTTCGATCCCCAGTTAGGGCACGTGCGAGAGGGCAGCCCATCAATGTTTCTCTCTCCCTTCCTCTCTCTCAAATCAATAAAAAAAAAAAATTTTTTTTAAATTCACTTTATTAAACAAAAAAAGAGAGAGACCAGGGTTCAAGTGCAGGCTTGCTGTCCCTTCTCTCTGACCCATTGCCCCACTGCCCCACTGCCCCACTGCACACAGCGAAGTCTGAGGCAGGGCCCTGGACCGCCGGGGAGATAAGCCGAGTTGCCAGAAGGCTGAGTAAGGGTCCGAGTAGACCCTGCAAGTCCTCAGTTCACGTGCCCGGCCCTTGTTGAAATGGCTTGAATTCCTGTAGCTGAGACTAGGGAGCACCAGCGCCACCTCGTGGCCAGGGGCAAGGATGCAGTCTGGGATTCCCTTACAGCAAGCATGTCAAACTCCCAGCACACAAGGAATGTTTTTGTGGCTCAGAAATGTTTTAATTAAAATTTCGTAACTTAATTTTTGCAATATCCTGTTATACATAATTATTAATAACGAACTACAACGTTTACTGTAATCGTGTTGCATTCAATTCCCTTACGCACCGGCGCACCATTTCTGTCCACTAATACTAGCAGCGAATGTTTCATTAGTCTTGTACTGACTTGTTTGGTGTGCACAACAGGAAATATTTCGCTTTCGGAGAACATGAAAAAATAGGTTTATTCGCGTTATGCTTATTAATTTGTGCAGTTATTCAGTGTCTGGTAAGTTAATGTTCAAGAAAAAATATTAATTTTTATTAAAATGTTCTATTTTATTTTAATGATTACTCATTTATTTCAGCCCTTTGTATTCAGCATGTCTTTATCGAAATAAACCTATGTTTCTATGAAAATTGAAGCTTTTGTTATTTTGTTATTTTGCGGCCCACATAAACTTAAACCTTGTTAGCCTTTGAGTTTGACATGCTTGCCTTACAGAGAGACCTGGAGGCCCTGACCGGGGTTATATGGCTGCTGAGTGGAGGGGCCCAGATCACCTGAAGCCAGGTCTACCCGCCTGGCTCCAACCAATGGCAAACAGCTGTCCCAGTGCATTGAAGAAAGGGCAGCCAACCGCTTCCTCGTGGGGCCCCAGCCCTCACCATCATGGGCCAGCACAAGCCCTGCCACTTGTCATTCAACTGCATGGCATCAGCAAAGAGGAAGAAGAGGGCCAGCAGGAACTCCAGGAGGGGCGCGGTGAGGAAGGCGGACGCTGTGGACGCCACGTAGCAGACAAAGATGATGAAGGAGAGACCCTGGGTGGGTGGGGAGGGAGAAGTCAGAGCCTTTGCACAGCCCCTCACCCAGTGCCCCTATGAGCCCCCGCCAGTCAGGAATAGAGGAGGCTCAGGAATGGAAGGTGATCTGCCCTCAGTTCTGCAGCTGCCAGGCTGAGGACCTGGTCATGGGGCCCAGGCTCACACCTGTGTTGCCCCCAGTGTTTCTGGGCATGGCCCTTAGTCCTGACCCCATGCCAGCTCCTTGCCAGGACCCAATCAGGAAGTGCCAGCCTCCTATGTGTGTCCAGCCCGCAGGAGGCCACCCTCTGGGGATGCTCACTCCGCCCCCAACCCAACAGGTTCTATGGCAGAATTCACCCAACTCAGACGATGTCCAACAGGGGCTAGTCAGACCTAAGCAGTCCCAAAGGCAGCCCACTAAGCAGGAACCAATTTCAAAAATTCACTCCCAACACACAAGACCTGCACTTTTCACTGAATGCAATCCACCTGAAAAACAATAAAATCTTAAACTTAGTAAAGATACGGGGGCTGAAGTGTTTACAGTTGAAATGTACTGATGTCTGCAGTTTACTCTAAATTCATTGAAAAACAAAATGGAGCCCGGCTGGTGTGGCTCAGTGGTTGAGCGTCGACCTATGAACTAGGAGGTCACGGTTCAATTCTTGATCAGGGCACATGCCCAGGTTGCGGGCTTGATCCAGTGTGGGGTGTGCAAGAGACGGCTGATTAATGATTCTTCATTGATGTTTCTATCTCTATCTCCCTTCCTCTCTGAAATCAATAAAATATATATATATATATATATATATATATATATATATATATATTTTAAATGGATTGCTAGATAGATGGAGAGATATGTGATAAAGTAAATATACCAATGTGTTAACAACTGTACAATGTAGGTGGTGGGTATATTAGTGTTAAGAGTATAACTCTTTTGACTTTTTAATATATTTGCAAATTTTACTACTAATAAGAAATAAACACCCAGGAAAGGAGTGTTGACACTGATGCCCCAGGTCCCGCTGGTCTCTGGGCGAGGAGCACTGAGGAACTAGAGTGAAAATGTTCTCTGCAGCCCTGTCCCTGCACTGTGTGTGGGAACTGACGCTGCCGGACGCCGAGCCCCCCAATAGTTCTGCAGACTGTGTGTGCTGCAGAGCAGACCAAGGTGCTGGGGCGGTGCCCTGGGCCAGTGCCCGCTGAGGCTTGTGGGATCTCCTGGGATCCTCGCAACCACCCATGTGCCAGGTGCTCCTTACAGCCCACTTTACAGACGGGAAGACTGAGGTTCTGAGAGGTGAAGTGATTGCTCAGTGTCATGCAGCTAATAAGAGGATACCAGGATTTTGAACCCAGGGCTAGCTTGACCGGCAGCGGCTTTCTTAAGCAACCCTGCCCTGGGGGTGTTGGCTTTTATCTGGTTTCTGTCACGGTGTGTGGGTCTGAACATGTCTATGGCTGAGTAGCTCCGAGTGGGGCCCAGGGGGCCTTGCAGGGGATACCCAGAGGCCTCACAGGAAGCACTGACGCTGCTTCAGACAAATGAGTTACAGAAATCCCAGGAAGTCCCCAGGGCACCCGCATCTGTACTGAACATGGCCCTGGGGATAGCTGAGTCCAACTTGAACAGATGGTTAACCAGGACACAGAGGCAGCCGGAAGACAAGGTGTGGGACCCTGACTCAGCCTGTCCACAGCTCCTGCTGTACTTATTCGGCTGGGCTGTTCTTGTGTCCCTCTCCTTCCTGCCCCGCCTCCCCCCCCAAGCCTTACTGTGGAGATCCCTCTCTAGATTCCTGTTTCCTCATTCTCTGATTCCTAGTTGCCACTTCACCCCTTCCTGCCCCTGCCAGCCCCCCCACTTGCGTGGGCCTGGGGCAGACAGGAGGTGACTACAGGAGTCACGAGTGCCGGGGAGCAGCTCCCTTTGCGACTTCAGTGCCCACCCGACCTCCTCCCCACGCCTGACACTCCCAGACAGATTCCTGACTCCCAGCTCTGCCCCGGGCCTCATTTATGCTCCGGCCGGCTACCCCTTGACTTATTTGGGGGGCCTGAGTGGGGTGGGTTTGGGGTCCCCTCGGTGGATGGTAGACTCAGGCTTCTCCCCGAAAGTAGCTCCCATCGATCTCTGGGGTGAGGCTGGAGTGGCCAACCAGGAGGCAACCCCTTGAAGTGAGGGCTGGGGGTCCTGCGGCCTCACTTGGGAGTTGGGCAGGTCCTGGGCTGACCTCCGGGCTGACCCCAGGCCCAGCAGAGGTGACAGGACCACAGACCGCCTCCTTCTGACCCCATCCCCCTCGGTCCTTGCAGCTCCAGCCCTCACCTGTCAAACCCCTTAAGCTCCGGCCTCAGCGTTCTGGTCATCAAAGTGGGAATAAAGACAGAGGCTGAGCTGGGGACCTAAGTAATCAGTGCCCCTCCCTCATCCCGCGTCCCCTCTGCCCGGTCTCTCCCTCCCCTTCCCTCCACGGAGGTCCAGGGCCAGCCCCCAGCCCACTCGCGGCCAGTGCGGGGCTTTTCGCCGTGTCCCGAGGACAAAGGCCTGGCCGGCCCGGGCGGGGGGAGCGGGAAGGAAGAAGCAGCTCGGCGGGGGCGGGGCGGCTGGATCCCGACGAGGAAGGGGAGGAGGGGGATGAAGTCACCCCGCTGGGCTCCGGCCCCCGCCCCTCCGCCTGCGCGCCCCCCAGAGTGCTGCCGGGGCCTCGCCCATTCCCAGGGGTCCCCTTCCCACCCGGTGCTGTCCCCATCCCAGCTGGCTGGGCTCCACCGCAGCCTCCGCCCCGCAGCCCGAGGCCCGGCTGGCCCTCCCTGCGCCCCGGAACGAGGGCGAGGGCGCCCGGGCGCGAGAAGGGCCGAGCGCGCTGACCCCTCCCGGGGCCCAGAGAGGGCGGAAGCGCCCGAGGTCACACAGCGCCGCGCGCGGGGCCCCTCGCCTTCTCCTCTCACCCAGGCCTGGAGGCTGGAGACCTTGGCCACCCCCAGCTTTGCACGCGCGCGTGGAGGGCCGGGGAGAGCGCGGGTTCGGGCCCCGCCTCGCCTCTGCCCCGGGCGCTGGTTTTCAGCGGGGCCGTCCTGAACGCGGGCAAGTTTTGCCCAATTGGGAGGGGGCTCCCAAGGGGGAACCGGGGGGGGGGCGCCGGAATTGGGGGCCCCCCCCCCCCCGAAGGGGGGCCGGGCCCGCATTTCCCGGATTCGGCCAGGAGGAAGGGGGCGGCCAGCAGAAGGCGGCCCTTTGCCCGCGCGGCCAGGAAGGGGAGCCAAGAGGGCGCGCAGCCCCGCGCCGGGGTGCGGAGCTTGGCGGCGGGCGGGCTCGGGTCCGGCTCGGGGTCCGGGTCTGGGGGCCACATGGCGGCGGCGGCTGCACGGACAAGGCTCGGTCTGGCTCCCTCACCCCCTGCGCCCGGGAGGGAAGCGGAAACCCCGGCTGTGCGGAAGGAGAGAGAGGCCGGGCGAGCTCGGCGCAGGGGCGCATCCCCCCGCCGCCGCGCCCCGCCCCCGGCCCCGCCTCTCCCCGGCCCCCTCCTCGGCTCCGACCTCCCTTCCCCTCTTCCGCCCTCGTTCCTTCTCCTCCCTTCCTGCCCTCGGACCCGGGACCCGCCGCGGTGCCGGCCTGGGGCTCCCGGAGACCCCTCCCATTCTCCTCTCACCCCTGCCCCGGAGGCTGCAGAACTTGTTTGCCACCCTCGGGTGCCCCGTCGGAGCTCCCACCCGGCTGTCCTCGCCACAACCCAGAAGGGTGGCCTCCACTCGCTGCCTCCCGTCGAGCACAGGTCCGGGACCCAGGACCCTAGGCGCCCAAACAGCAAAACTCTGCCTGGTCCTCCCGCGGCTTCGATCGCGCTGTCGGCCTCCCACCCACTCCCGCTGTTTCTCTCTCGGCCATTCGCCCACCCCCACCCCGCCGCACCCATGTTTTCCGGGGGCGGGAGGCGAAGATGCAAGCCCTGTGCACGGCACACACGCGCGCCCGCGCGCACGCTCCTCGGGGCGCCAGTTCAGTGTCGCCACGACCAGCCCGGGACGTGCTGGCTGCGCGGGCCTCTGCGAGCGGTGCTGCCCGCCGTCCTTCCACCCCAAGAGCCACAGTCCCCGGGGGTGGCCTGGTTCTCGCTCTGCCTCTGTCTCACCACGACGGCCACACACGTTCCCCTCCTACACGTCCATCCCCGTCCACTTCTCACCGCCACCAAGGCCTCCGCTAGACTCAGGCCACTCCTGTCTCCTCCCTGCGCTGTTCCGAGGAAGCAGATGGGAACCTTGGAGCTCCCCAACTTGCTCAGGGCCTCGGTATAGGGCAAAACATCACCCCTCGCTGCCCTCTCCCCGCTTCTCTTCCACCCATCTGCTTCCTCGCGGCTTCTTACACAAACCAGGCTCCCCTCTGCACCCGGGCCTTTGCACGCGCTATCCCCTCTGCGCGGAGTGCTCTTTCCCCACCGTGTTATCCGATCAGTCCTTTAATCTTCTGTGACCAAAAAGCAGCAATACGTCCTCAGAGAAGACTTCCCCGACCTCTCCAGCTAGGTAAGAGGCATTCATTTACCTATGTATTCATTCAGCAGCAGAACTGGGAGCCCGACCTGAGGGGAAGCCCCCGCTTGTGGTGGGGGTGTGGGTAAACACTAAATGGACCCGGAGAATCCTGAGTGAGGTGGTCGCTGGTAATAGATGTCTGGCAGGTTCCGCGGGTGGCCAGGCGGAAAGGACTGAGCTAGGGACCAGCGGGAGGAGACAGATTGTGCAGGCCCTGGCCCTGGAGTTTGGGATTTACCCCACATTCCCTGGGAGCAGGCCAGGGAGGGGAGGGGTTAGATCAGAGGACCACCTGGTTCTCATCTCTGTTAATTGAAACGTGGCTCAAAATTGCAACTCAATATAAGAAAACAACCTGGATTTTAAAAGGGGCCAAAGATTCGAACAGACAATTCAACAAAGGTGTACGGACACCTAATAAACACATGGGTGAAAAGATGCTCAACACCATGACATCTAGAAATGCAAATTAAAGGCACCATGAGATACAGCTCTACACCTATTAAAATGGCTTCGTAGAAAGGGATGCTACTATTTAAGTGCCGGTGAGGATGTATAGCAGATGGAACTTTCATTCACTGCTGATAGAAAGGTTAAACAGGCCCAGCTGGCGTGGCTCAGTGGTTGAGGGTTGACCTAAGAATCAGGAGGTCAGGGTTCGATTCCCAGTCAGGGCACGTGCTTTGGGTTTTGGGCTTGATCCCTAGTAGGGGGCGTGCAGGAGGCAGCCGATCAATGATGTTTTCTCATCATTGATGTTTCTATCTCTCCCTCTCCCTTCCTCTCTGAAATCAATACAAAATATATTAAAACAACAACAAAAAAAGTTAAACAGCCCTGCCCGGTGTGGCTCAGTTGGTTGGGCATCGTCCCGTACACGGAAAGGTTGTGGGTTCGATTCCCAGTCAGGGCATATGCCTAGGTTTTGAGTTCGATCCCTGGTTGGGGCAAAACAACCAATGTTTCTCTCTCTCTCTCCCCCTCCCACTCTCCCTTCTCCTTTCCCTGAAATCAATAAACATATTCTCAGGTGAGGATTAAAAAAAAAAAAAGTTAAACAGAGGTCTATCATGGGACCCAGCTATTTTTCTTGTAGGTATTTACCCAAGAGAGAGGAAAGCACGGGTCTCTACAGAGGCCTGTACACGAATGTCCACAGCTGTGTTTTTAATAGCTTAACGTAGAAACCACCCGTTGGTTCATCAGCAGGGGAAGGAATAAACTGAGGGACATCCCTTCCAGGGAAAGCACCTCAGCAATAAAAAGGAATAAATCGTTGGTGAGTGCAACAATATGGTTGCATTTTGCAGACATGATGTTGAATGAAAGGAGCCACACTGAAAACAGCACATGCTGTATGATCCCACCTTTATGAAATCCTAGAATACGTGAAACTAAGTTGTGGCGACAGAAATCAGGTCAGTACCCGGGGTCGGGGCTTGAGGAAACTGTTTGGGTGCTGGAAATGCGCTTTATTTTGACAGGAGTGGTGGTTACTCGGGGACCTACATTTCTCAAAACACATCAGACAGTACTTTTAACATGGGTGCATTTTATTTTATGTAATTTACATCTCCATGAGCTGAAAGGGTACCAAAAACAAAATAGGGTGGCAGCCCAGAATGACCGAGAGGGCCCACGGAGAGGGGAAGGAGAACCTGGTGGGTGCCCTTGCTTGAGGTGGCTGGAGACCCCGGGCCCCTGTCCATCTCACCGCAGGCTGTGAGCTGCCTGGGGACCAGCCCCAGCCCAGAACCTGTCACAGAGGATGGCAGCATGAAATACCTGCTATGGAATGGAGGAGGGTGGCTCTATTCCTTTCACGTTCCTTGTGGAAGGAATATTCTCCGTTCTTCTCCACTAGTTTATTTACTTTATTTTTGGGGTTATAATGAACTACTGACTTCATTTTATTGGTTGTTGTTCCATCTTTGGCCAGTAGGCGGGCTCATGTGTACCTAACATGCCCCCTCCCCTCCCCCTCTTTCTTTCATTTCCTCATTTTCTGCCACTGTGAGATGCTTCAGGTTCATGTTGTATTCTCCCCATCTTAGGCCAAGAATCGCCAGTTCTCCAAGAAGCCCTGGTGCTCTTTATCGGAGAATGGTATTTAGAAACCAAGGTCTCTCTGGGCAGTTTTCATTTGCATTTCTCTAGTTATGAGTGGCACAAACACTTTTTTTTTTTTTACATGTGTGAGAGCCATTTGCATTTCCTTTTCTGAGAATTGACTTTTCACACACATAAAAACACACTTGCCAGGAAATGAGTCCTTTTTCTGAAATGTGAGTTATGAATATTTTTTCCTGAGTTGTCACTTATCTTTCACCTTGCGTTTTCGCTAGATCTTTTTTCTTTTAGAACTTGCTGTTTTCTCCTTTAATCTACAAATGTCTCGAACGACAGTAGCAGTTTGCCTAATGCTCACCATCCTTACATTTGTGGGATGTGCCTTTCTTGGTCAGGGTGTTTGCTGTTTTGCTAAATCTCTGGGTTCATTTAGGTAATATTTTTATTTGGGATTTTTGCCTTTGTTTTCACAAAAAATAGAATGGACTTGCAGGTTTTTGCCTTTTTAAAAAAATTTTATTATTTGTGTTATCCTTTATGTAAGTCTTTCTTGTTTCCTAATGAAGACACTTAAAGTTATACATTTTTTCCTCTGAGGACCACTTCAGACACATGCCAAAAATATTGCTCTAGTTTTTACCCATTTCTGAATAGCTTGTAGTTTCAGTTTTATTTTATTTTTAAAAATATACTTTTATTTATTTCAGAGAGGAACGGAGAGGGAGAGAGAGATAGAAACATCATTGATGAGAGAGAATCATTGATTGGCTGCCCACCACACGCCCCACATTGGGGATCCATCCCACAAACCCCAGGCCAGGAATCGAACCATGACCTCCTGGTTCATAGCTCAGTGCTCAACCACTGAGCCACGCCCGGTGGGCATGGTTTCCATCTTAATTTCCTCTTTAATCTACAGTCTATCTTCTCTCCTACAGGAATTCCAGGTAATTAGACCTTTTGGTACTGTCTCTAAAGTCCTTGAGGCTCTGTTCATTTCTTCCCATCCGTTTATTCTCCTTTGTTGAGATCAGATCGTTTCTACTGATTTATCATCAAGTTCACTCTTTCCTCTGTCATCTCCGTTCTGCCCCTAAGCCCGTCCGTCCAGTTTTAAAAATGTGGTTATTATATTCCGTTCTAAAATTTCCATTTGATTATTTTTTATATCTTCTATTTCTCCACTAAGACGTTCTATCCTTCCAGGTGTTCTATTTATTCTTTAAAATTTATTCTTAGAGCATGCTTCTAATATTTTCTTTAAAGTCCTGCTCTGATCCTCCTAACATTTGTGGAATTCTTGTCTTTTTTCCTTTCTTCATTTGTGCCATTCTTGAGATTGTTCGTTGTCTTTTCCCTCATAAGACGTTGAGATTTTTTCTAGTCCTTCATATGTCAAATAATTATCGATTGTATAACGGACATTTTGAACATTATGTTTTTTTATTGATTGATTACGGTATTACATATGTGTCCTTACCCCCCCACTGCCCCTCCCCCCGAGCTCGTGCCCTCACCCCCCTAGACTACAGTCTGTGTCCATTGGTTAGGCTTATATGCACGCATACAAGTCCTTTGGTTGATCTCTCCCCCTCCCTCTCCCCATCCCCTGCCTTCCCTCTGAGGTTTGACGGTCTGATCGATGCTTCTCTGTCTCTGGATCTGTTTTTTGTTCATCAGTTTATGTTGTTCATTATATTCCACAAATGAGTGAGATCATGTGATATTTATCTTTCTCTGACTGGCGTATTTCGCTTAGCATAATGCTCTCTAGGTCCATCCATGCTGTTGCAAATGGTAAGAATTCCTTCTTTTTTACCGCAGCGTAGTATTCCATTGTGTAGATGGACCACAGTTTTCTAACCCACTCATCTGCTGGTGGGCGTTTAGGCTGTTTCCAAATCTTAGCTATGGTGAATTGTGCTGCTATGAACATAGGGGTGCATATATCCTTTCTGGTTGGTGTTTCCAGTTTCTTGGGATATATTCCTAGAAGTGGGATCACTGGGTCAAATGGGAGTTCCATTTTTAGTTTTTTGAGGAAACTCCATACTGTTCTCCACAGTGGCTGCACCAGTCTGCATTCCCACCTGCAGTGCACCAGGGTTCCTTTTTCTCAGCATCCTCGCCAGCACTTGTTGTTTGTTGATTTGTTGATGACAGCCATTCTGACAGGTGTGAGATGGTCGTTTTGATTTGCCTCTCTCGGATGATGGTGACCTTGAGCATGTTTTCATATGTCTCTTGGCCTTCTGTATGTCCTCTTTCAAAAAGGGTCTATTTAGGTCCATTGCCCATTTTTTGATTGTGTTGTTTACCTTCTTTTTGTTAAGTTGTATGAGTTTCCCTGTAAATGTTGTATGAGTTTCCCTGTAAATGTTGGAGATTAAACCCTTATCGGAAATAACATTGGCAAATACCGAACATTATGTTTTGAATTCTGGGTTTGCTTAACTTTTATAGAGATTTGTTGTTATTAAAGCAAACAATCAATCTGGTTAGATTCAGGCCTACCCACCATTGGCCTGTGGTTCCAATGTCCAGTCAGTTTATAAAAGCTTTTCAATGTTATTCTGGAATAAACCCCACTTCATCATGGCGTAGATTCCTTTTAATACACTATTAGATTTGGTTTGCTAGTATTTTGTTGAGAATTTTTTGCATCTACAGTCATAACAGATACTGGTATTTAGTTTTTTTTTTAAATTAAATCTTTATTGTTCAGATTATTACAGTTGTTTCTCTTTTTTCCCCCATAGCTCCCCTCCATCCGGTTCCCACCCCACCCTCTGCCCTTACACCCCCCCCCACTGTCCTCATCTATAGGTGTACGATTTTTTTCCAGTCTCTTCCTGCACCCCCCACACCCCTTTCCCCCCTGTGGTGTTTAGTTTTTTGTGTGATATCTTTATCTAGTTTTGGTATCAGGGTGATGCTGGCATATAGCATGAGTTAAGAAGTATTCCCTTCTAGTTTTTGGGAGAGTTTGAGAAGAATTACTAATTCTTGAAATGTTTGGTGGAATTCACCAGTGTAGTCATCTGGTCTTGGACTTTTATTTGTTGGGAAATGTTTTTGGCTACTAATTTAATCTCTTCACTTGTTGTGTATTGAGATTTTCTATTTTTTCTTCTGTGAGTTTAGGTAATTGTGTATTACTAGGATTTTTTCCATTTCATCTAACTTGTCATATATTCATTCATAGAATTATCTTAGCATCCTTTCTCTGAATGGTCAGTAGTAACCATTGCTTTCATTTCTGATTTTAGTTATTTGTGTTCTCTTTTTTCTTTGTCGTTACCTAAAGGTTGTTAATTTTGTTGATATTTTCAAAGACCTAATCTTTGGTTTTGTTCATTCTATTCTCCCCCTCCCCCCCTTATTCCCCCATTCTCTCTTTTACTTATCTATTGTTTCCTCTTTTTTTCCTAGCTTTGGGTTTAATTTACTCTTTTTTTTTCTATTTCCTCAATGTGTAAAGTTGGGGTGTGGAAAAATTCTGTTTCAGATACCTGCCTCCAGGGGTGAGAGGAATGGCCACACAGAGGAGTTTAACAAGCTCCACCCTTTTCTGCTGGATTCTGAGCACAGTCATAGTTACTTACACTTTTAGGTAAAATTTGCATGTAATGAAATGCACAGATCTTAAGCATGCAGTCAAAGGTTTGGCACATGTATTCACCCGTGTAACCAGTTCCCCAAATAAAGATACAGAACTGTCTCATGCCCCCAAATCCCCTCATGCTCTGTAATCAATCCCCGTTCTCCACCTCCTGAGGTAACCAGTTTCCATTTCTTTCACTATATTTCCCCCTGTTCTTGAACTTCAAAATAGAATCATATGGTATGTTCTTTTTATTTTTAAAAAAATGTTGATTTCAGAGAGGGAGGGAGAGGGAGGGAGGGAACCATCAATGATGAGAAGTGTGGATTGGCTGCCTCCTGCACCCTCCTGCTGGGGATCAAACGTGCAATCTGGGCCTGTGCCCTGGCCAGGCATCAAAACTAGTGACCTCTTGGTTCATGGGTTGATGCTCAACCACTGAGCCACACCGGCGGTGTGTCTTCCTTTTGGGTCTGGTTCCTTCCACTCAGTACTCAGGGAGACTCATCCTTATCTTTTACTTTTATCGCCATTCTCTGTCATGTGTCAGTAGCTTGTTTCCTGTTGCTGAGTAGTAGTATATTGTGTGAGCGTAGCACAGAGTACCTCCTTTGAAACATTTGGGCTTTTTTTTTTTTTTAGCTTTTTGGCTCTTACAACATTCTAGTATATCAGGCCTCTTGGCTAAATATCTGGGGGGATGTAATTCTGGGTCATTCGGCAGGATGGTGTCCATGTTTTAGTTTTTCTCTAGAATGCGAATCCCTGTAGGGTTTCCTCCTTTTAGTAGGGTTGCCTTACCTTACCTGGCCAGCAGGGGGTGGTGTGAGGGCTACAGAGGTGCCCTTGAAGGGTGGAGACCAGCTCTTCCTGCTTCCCCAGGGACCTGCCCCAGCGGCCCATCTTTCCCACCTGCCTGACAGGCAGCCTCCTCCTCTTCCGCAGCAGCAGCCGACTGTGTCATCTCCTCCCACTGGGACGCGCACCCTGAGGCTTCAGGGGTCCCCATGGCACTTAGGACAGAGGCCAAAGTCTTTACCCCCCCCCCCCCCCCAGCCCAGCTGACCTCCCCGCCTCTCTCTCATGTGGTTCCTGGCTGAGCTCATGCCCCCTCCACCCCCGCCCCTCCTCCCTAGCTCCTCAGGCATCAATTGGGGACCTCACTTTTCTTTCATGAGGATGACTCTTCTCCTGCCCAGTTGCCAAGTGGCTGGACTGTCTGGTGAGAATGAGGCCCTGACCCTGGTGCGGGGGTTGGGGGGTGCGTGCATGTGGGAGTTGTGGCTCTGGGGCCCGGCTGATGCTCAGGGCTTATGCTCAGGTCTTTACTGGACAGAGATGCTGCAGGTCCCAGGGACCGCTGGCCATCTCCACAGCAACCAGCCCCCCCGGTCCCTTCTGGGCCCATCCTGCTTGGCCCACTCCAGCCTGACTCCGGTTCGCAGAGGCCCTGAGCCCTGAGGAGGTGCCACCACCCCTGCTGCCCTCCTCCCGAAGGTGCTTCGAATGAGGACCAATACCAAACTTCGAAGAATCAGGAAGGCCAGCAACCTTATTTCTCTCCTAGCAACTACCTGGATGCTTTTAAAAAATATCAGTCCTAGCCGGTTTGGCTCAGTGGATAGAGCGTTGATCTGCAGAGTAAAGGGTCCCAGGTTTGATTCCGGTCAAGGGCACATGCCCAGGTTGGGGGCTCCATCCCCAGTGGGGAGTGTGCAAGAGGCAGCCACTCAATGATTCTCTCTCATCATTGATGTTTCTCTCTCTCTCTCCCTCTTCCTTCCTCTCTGAAATTAATAAAAAAAATATATAAAAAATAAAAATATTAACGTGAGCCTGGCCAGCTTGGCTCAATGGTTGAGCGTCAACCTGTGAACCATGTGCCCTTGTGCCCCGACCTAGAGTCTCGCTCTTCCTCTCTAAAATAAATAAAAATAGAAAATAACGTGAAAAAAAAAGGCATCCTTTCGTTTCCCGTTCTCTCCTTTCCCTCTGGCCCCTTTGGCTGGTCAGCGTTGACAGCCAGCGTCACCCACACGCTGGTCCCCCAAGCCCCTCACGGCACCAAAACTTTCGGTAACGTTGGTGGTAGGAACAAAAAATCCACTTGAAGAGAATTTCTTTTCCGAGCAGAGGTGGTTATTTAAGTGGACAAGAAAATCACTGGGAAAGAAGACAAGGAAGACAGTGGGACTCTGCTTCGCTGCAAAATACACGGCCCCGTCTGACCACCAGCTTCTCCTCGGTGTCATTTCTTGCTTGCCTTTGCTGCTGCTGCTCCTGCTGGCGCTGCTGCTCCTGCCGGCGCTGCTCCTGCTGCCGGCGCTGCTCCTGCTGCTGGCGCCGGCGCTGGCTTTCCCTTTTTGTCGTCCTTTGGCTTTGCCGCCTCTGCTTTTGGCTCTTCCTTTGGAGCATCTGCCTTTTTTTGAGGAGGAACCAGCACATTCTTTTTGACCTTCTTGCCTCTGAAGTGTTTTCTTTGAAGGCATATATCGATTAAAGGGAAAAACGCAGCCACACCAATAAGGATCTGGAAAACAAGAGGAGCCTCGTGACTTTTGCTTTTCATCCCGAAGTTGGCCTATTTCCTTCCTGGTTTCTTTTCTTTTTTTGTAAAAAATATATTTTTATTGATTTCAGAGAGAGGAAAGGAGAGAGAGAGAGAGAGAGAGAGAGAGAGAAAGAGAGAGAGAAAGAGAAACATCAATGAGGAGAGAGAATCATTGATTGGCTGCTTCCTGCATGCTCCCTACTGGGGATCCAGCCCAAAACCTGGGCACGTGCCCTGACCAGGAATTGAACCTTCTGGTTCATAGGTCAACGCTCAACCACCAAGGCACAGAGGGCTGGGCTCCTTCCTGGTTTCTAATAGTAAGCAGGTGCTGGAAAAGACACCCCCTTGTCCCCTTAAATGGCCAGACCCCAGAGACTGAGCCCCCCCCCCCCCAAGTGCCCTGTCACCCACCACTTCTTTCTTTAAACCCGGCCGGGGGGTAGGGTAGGAGCTTTGGCCTCTGGGTCAGCAGCAAAAGGAGGAAGCCAGCAGCTTGGCTGGCTCCCTACACATCAAATTTATTGCAATGGCTTCTCCACTGGGAACACTGATCAGCTTTACTTTCCAACTTTGCTTGGATCGCACAATTCGGTGGAAAGCCGTTCTGTGGCCTTCGAAGCGGGGAAAACACGCGTTCTCCAAAAAGAGGTGATTTCTAAGCAGATGAACAGCCCCACAAGGGAGACTCACCACAGCCACAAAGTAGTTCACCGGCATGGTTTGGCGAGATTGCACAGCAAAGGCCACAGCGCCTGCCAGGAAAGCGGTGGCGAACAGGTCGTTGAGAAGGTCCTGAGAGCACGGGAGAGAGGAGTGTCGTCAGCCTGGGACCCGGCCAAGGCCCCACTGACAGCCCGCCTGGCCGAGCTTCCAGCAGGAATGAGTTTCAGACTTCTGCCTAATTAAAGATTATGCAAATATTTTATGTACATTAATTAATATACTATATAGGTATTTAAAGATAAATATACACCCGGCTAGGTGAACATACCTGTGGCCCCTCAACTGGGTTCTTTGAGTCAAGACCCAAAGCTCAGGATCTTTTATTTTTTAAGCTTTTAAAATTTTTATTGATTTCAGAGAGGAAGGAAGAGGGAAAGAGAGAGACATTTTTCAATCCTTTTTATTTTTTAAAAAATATATTTTTATTGATTTCAGAGAGGAAGAGAGAGATAGAAACATCAACGATGCGAGAGAATCATTGATCGGCTGCCTCCTGCACGCCTCTTACTGGGGATCAAGCCCGAAGCCCAGGCATGTGCCCTGACCTGGAAATGAACCATGACCTCAACCACTGAACAACACAGGAATTTTTTTCTCCCTGAAGTACACCTTTTAGTAGTTCTTTCAGTGAAGGTCAGTGAATATAAATATTTTTGTTCTTTGTCTAAAAGTGTCTTTATTTTATTCTTTGTACCTCAGCCCTTCAAATAAATTATTCCATTATTTTCTAGCCATTGTCATTGCTGTTGAAGAATATGAAGTTAGCCTAATAGTTTGAGAATTTTTTTTAAGATAAATTGCCTTTTCTCTTGGTTTGATTCTAAGTTTGCCTTTGTCTCTGGTGATCACAGTGCCTCTATGACATGTCTAGGTGTAGTTTTGTTTTTATTTATGCCTCTTGGTACCTCTTTGAGACTTTTTATCTTTCATTAAATCTGATATTGATATTGCCACCTCAGCTCTTTTTTGGTAACTGTTTGCATGGAGTTTTTTCATTTTCATTTTCAACCTATTTGCATCTTTAGATCTAAAGTGAGTCTCTTGTGACCCTAATATAGTAGGATTATGGCTTTTTAAATCTATTATGATAATCTATGCCTTTTATTGGAGAGTTTAATCCATGTAGATTAAAAACAATTACTGACAAGGACTTATTTTGCTATTTTCTATATATCATATCTTTTGGTTGTTCCTCAGTTCTACCATTACTGCCTCCTTATAATCTGTAAGTTTTAGTAATGTACCAAATATATATATATACATATATATAACATATGTAACATATATACATATACATATACATATACATATACATATACATATAAATATACAATTTCCTTGTGGTTACAATTAATACTTAAATTTATAACAATCTAGTTTGAATTGACACCAACTTAGTTTCAAGAGTACACAAAAACTCTTTTTGTTGTTATTGTCACAAATTATATCTTTATACATTGTGACCCATTAATGTAGATTTATAATTATTATTTTATGCACTTGTATTTTAAATTATATCAGAAAAGAGGAGTTACAAATAAAAATACAATAATACTGGCTTTTATATTTACCTATATAGTTACCTATACTGGTGGCCTTTCTTTCTTTTGTGGCTTCAAGTTACAATGCAGTGTCCTCTCATTTTGACCTGAAGGACTCTCTTTAGAATTTTTTTAGGGCATGTCTACTAGTAACAAATTCCTTCACCTTTTATGTGGGAATTTCTTAAGTTCTCCTTCATTTTTGAATGGTAAATTTTGAAAGATAATTTCAGTTTTGAAGGATGTTGTATTCATTTCCTGGGGTTTCCCTAACAAAGTAACACCAACTGAGTGGCTTAGAACAACGTAAATTTATTGTCTCACAGTTCTGGAGGCCAGAGGTCCAAAATTAAGGTGTTGGAAGGGCCATACTTCCTCTGAAGGTGCTAGTTCCAGGCCTCTCTTCTATCTTTAGGCATTCTCATCTTGTTCCTGTGTCTCTTCACACCATCTTCCCTCTGTATATGTTTGTCTTTGTGTCCAAATCTCTCCTTTATATAAAGATACTAGAGGCCTAGTGCACAAAATTTGTGCGGGGGGTGGTGGTGGTGGTGTGTGTCCCCTCAGCCCAGCCTGTGCCCTCTTGCAGTCAGGGACTGCCTGCCTGCTCACTGCTCCTCACTGCTTGGCTCACTGCTCCTTCGCACTGCTGTGGAGGCGGGAGAGGCTCCCGCCACCACCACTGCACTCACCAGCCCTGAGCCTGGCTCTGGCTGAGCGATGCTCCCCCTGTGGGAGCTCACTGACCACCAGGGGGCAGCTCCTGCATTGAGCGTCTGCCCCTGGTGGTCAGTGGGCAACATAGCCACCAGTCCTTCTGCCATAAGGGTCGCTTAGGCTTTTATTATACTAGAGACCCGGTGCACAAAAATTTGTGCACTCAGGGGGGTCCCTCAGTCCGGCCTATGCCCTCTTGCAGTCTGGGACCCCTCGGAGGATGTCCACCTGCTGGCTTAGGCCCGCTCTCTGCGGGATTGGGCCCAAGCTGCCAGTCAGACATCCCTCTGGCAGCCCAGCAGCCTCGGGGGATGTCCACTTGCCAGCGGGGAGCAGGCCTAAGCTGCAGTCGGACATCCTTAGTGCTGCTGAGGAGGCAGGAGAGGCTCCCCACCACCACCATTGTACTGGCAGCCGTCAGCCTGGCTTGTGGCTGAGCAGAGCTCCTCCTGTGGGAGCGCACTGACCACCAGGGGGCAGCTCCTGCATTGAGCGTCTGCCCCCTGGTGGTCAGTGTGTGTCATAGTGACCAGTCATTCCCAGTCTTTCTGCTGTTAGGGTCAGTTTG